TACATACCTCTTTCGCTTCATCAACAGTCATCAATCTTTTCTCTGTCTGATCTGTTAAGGGTACTTTTAATTTGGCCCTTCTTTAATATATCACCAAAAATTTACTATTTACACTAATATTATAAATGTGAAAGTTTGTATAGGTACGTCTGTTTGGTACTCCTTCATGTCAAAACGGGTAAAGGGATCGGGGTAAAATTTGGAACAAGGGTAGATTATAGTTTCAAATAACACGTAGGCTACTTTTTAATACACGGGAACGCGGGCAAATCCGCTGACAGGAGTTAGTAGATTATAGAATGCAGATAAACCATGTGACACAAAATATAGACGAGAATATACCAACAGCTAGACGTATGTCTAATTCGGTCCGGTAATTGAGACTTTAGTAATATTCCACTCATATAACTATCATGTGATTTTGTGTGAGTTCAGCTGTAAGAAGTTTACGAAAATAACTCTTATATGCTCATAAAATAGAGTGGAAAGTTGCAAGTTTTGTTGTTTTCCCACGTATCTTAGTGGCAATTGATTATTTAATTGTAATCGAGTTATTTTTTTTGTTGTTAATTTGTATGTCTCCTGCGCTTGTCTAGCAGTTATAAGTGTGCAAATGACGTCTTTGTCGGTTCGATCTCTGAGTCGAGAAAGTTATTCTTGTAAACATCATTTAAATTAGATATTATCATTGATAGTTAGGTCATAAAGGTGCAAATATTTAAAACAACACTCACTTAATACCAGTTTAAATGAATCATCAGCTGTTAAAAAAATAAAATCAATAGAATAGAATACCAATAATACTTTAATCGAAACAAAAATCGAATATGAAACCTCTAGTTTAGTAGTCGCACTAACTAGACCAACTTTTAAATATCTCTAGTTTTAGATTATACACGGTATCAAAGTCAGTCAAAGTCGTGGTAATCAAAGTCTAGAAAAGAATTCATAGGCACTTTAATACAATAGAAATTATGCATAGCAGATACTAGTCAACTATTGTAAGTTAGAAAAACAACCATATTGTTATGTTATTAATACTTTAAGTGCTCATTTAACTTTAATAATGTGTTATGAACTGTAAGCACTTGACTCTTATTGTGCACAGATAGATTATAAATAGATGGAGATAAGTTAGGTACAGTGTTTTGCACCGTTTTTATGTAATAAGCCGGTAAACGACAATATCTTATTGAACGTATGCCACATTAACGCCCAGAGTATGCTCAGTCACTATAATGACCTCTACGGAGCATTTAACAATAGTAATGTACATGCCGACTTGATATCCGAAACCTGGCTCAAGCCTCAATTATCATCAACCAACTACCCCTTAACTGGATATGTTCTTATTCGCAATGACCGCACTGAGGGACGAGGGATTTTTTTTAACGGGGAAAATCATCGAACGATTTCACCCGCCTGGATAAGGCGGGAGGGAATGTCAGACTCTTACTGACTAAAAACTACCCCGTTCCTACTCCTGCACTTCCGGAGCCGGAGCCCGGGCAACCCGTTAAGTTCTCCGCGGCACATTTGTATGGGATAACCCGGTAAACAAGCAGATGGATCACGTGATGGTAAGCAATCGGCGCCTGGGCTCGCTGCCATTGCAGCGGTAAGTCCCCTCTTTGAGGAGTGGCTTGAGAGACGCTACGGCGTCCTCACCTACCGCCTGACGCAGGTCCTCACCGGACATGGAAGTTTCGGGAGGTACCTGTGTCTGATGGGGCGGGAGGAAACGCCCGGGTGTCATCACTGCGAGGACCGCCCTGAGGACACGGTGGAACACACAGTGGGAGAATGCCCTGCGCGGGCTGAGCACCGCCGTGCCCTCAGGGAAGTGATCGGCGATGGCGACCTCTCGCGTCCGGGCCTAGTGCAGGTCATGATGCGGAGCGAGGGGGACTGGGATGCCGTCTCCTCCTTTTGCGAAGCAGTCATGCTAGCTAAGGAGGAGGCGGGACGCGTGAGGCAGCGAAGCGCTGCCTCCTCGCAACCCAGTCATCGCGAAGGACACACCGGGCGTCGGGGATCGCGGGACGATCTCCGGCCACCGTAAGCGCGGGCCTGCGGACGGCGAGCATGGGTGGCTCCCCGTCCGACCAGAAACAGACCCGAGCGTACGGCGCGTCGCGTTCCGCGCGCGCCTCAAAGAGCCATCAGACCACCACAGATGGGGCCCAATAGGGCCGATGCCGATTCGGAGTCGCGGAGAACCTAACGGGTAACCGGGGCTCCGGCTCGACGTGCAGGAGAAGGAACGGGGTGGTTTTTAGTCAGTAAGAGTCTGACACTCCCTTCCGCCTCACCCAGGCGGGAGCAGTCATTCGATGATTTTCGCCCCTTAAAAAAAAAAAAAAAAAAAAGCAATCGGCGCCGCCCATGGACACCCAGCTAACGAGGCGTTATAAGTGCGTTACCGGCCTTATGGGGGTTAGAAATTTGAGGATTGTTGGGTATTCAAGGATTGGGGAGATTCGGAAGGGGTAATTGGGCCTCCAGTAACCTCACTCACAAAACGAAATAAAACGTAAGCGTTGTTTTGCGTTGGTAGTCTGCTCGGCCGTGGTATCACTCCGGTCGAGCCGGCCCGTTCATGCCGAAGCATGGCTCTCCCACAGACACACACTTAAAACACATACCTTACCTTAAACGATAGTCTTGTTTATTTTATAACTCTAACTTAGAGTATAAAGTTGTAATATTGCTAGTATATAATAGGGTAAAACTTTAAGGCCACTGCATTTTCCTTCTAGGTATTTAAATAAATATTGCATCTGTAATAATATCTGCAACTTTACCTACGAATATACTTTGCCTATCTTTATGAAACGCAATGGGGGCTGCCATTTTTATCCATGTCATCATGCAGATGGCGCAAGTAGGTATAGCAACAGCTGTATTAGTCCAATCACTCCAGTTGTCAAATATCTAAGAACCAATGGTATGATACTAGCTAAGTTATTACTGGACGAAAAACCAGATATTCACAGTATCGCCTTCTGATAACCAAAAATGCAGTAGCCGGCTCAGACATCTATTTCTCAGTATTACCATTTACCACGTGTACGGCAATGGACTTTTTTTTTTTTTAAGGGGGGAAAATCATCGAGTGACTGCTCCCGCCTGGGTGAGGCGGAAGGGAGTGTCAGACTCTTACTGACTAAAAACCACCCCGTTCCTTCTCCTGCACGTCGAGCCGGAGCCCCGGTTACCCGTTAGGTTCTCCGCGACACGGCAATGGACTTACCTTCTAAAGTACGTACGTATACGTAAAAACTTAAAAAAGTCAAATGAAGAAGGCCCAATTACCCCCTTCCCCTCCGATCCCCGAATGCCCAATAATCCTCAAATTCTTAATCCCTAAAAGGCCGGTTACGTACTTGTAACGCCTCTGATGTTTCAGGTATTCATGGGCGACGTAGATTGCTTACCATCAGTTACTCCGTCTACTGGTTTACTGGCTTAAACTGTCAAACACCGCGAGGTCACCGGTGACCCCAACCTATTGTTCTTTAATTGTGTCTATAAATACGGTACTCGACGAGTTAATAAATAAAAAAATTGTACCTACGTGGCACGTTTCGAACCCACACCCTCATGCATGAGAATCACGACAAATGTAGATGTTACTCACCATGTGTTCATTCAAAGTATCCTTTGAACTGTTATTAATGTTAATTAATAATTTGTTTATCGCCTAATATCTTGTTTACTGCTCTCATTACATAATTACCTATTATAAGTGAAATTAAGTATAATAGGGTAGTTTCCTAAATTTTATTTTAATGTCCGTCTGGTAGATTGATTTAAAACTTTAGACACGTATTTTTTTCTTTTCTCACAAAATTAAGTACTTTCGACGATATATTAATTTGAAATATCGTGTGACGTCACAGCGTGTCACATTTTGTAGCACGTTATGACGTAACAACCTCCCTCTCCTAAACTTAGCGCAATTTTATCTGAGTATTGCAACTTAATACGAGACAATAAAAAATTACGTGTCTAATAGTTTTTATTACCTAACTGACGGACTAATTAGATTTTGAATTTTGATACCCTGGACACACCCTAATTGATTGTTTTTATACTAAATAGTTTTTGTTTCTACATCACCTAAAGGTTGGACTGGTAGACAATGCTCACGATAAGTCCACCTTGTGTACACACTTTTTTAGGCATGAAAACCATCGTCAAACAACGCTTGCGTTGTGTTTCGTTGTGAGTTAGGTTACCGGAGGCCCAATTACTCCCCTCCCCAATCTCCTCAATCCCAAAATCCCCAACAAACCCTCTAATTTCCAATCCCCAAAATCCGCACTTGTAACGCCTTTGGTGTTGTGGGTGTCCATAGGCGAAGCCGATTGCTTACCGATCAGATGATCAGTCTGCTCGTTTACCGGCTTATAATTCCATAAAAAATCAGTTATTTCACATATAAACAGACCATAAGTGTTCACTGTTGATCATCGGCTTCTCACACGGAACAGCTTTGAGCATTAATCACCACGCTTCTTCAAGGCAACTCATAGCTACTTACTCAATTAGAAATTGCGGTGAAGGAAAACATCGTGAGGAAACTTGGATTTATAATTTCAAAGAAGTTTTGTTTAGGCAGTTTAGATTCATTCACATTCGAAATAAAAAATCACAATAACAAAACAAACTGACAAATAACTTTCCGAATATACTGTAAACATAAGTAGTTAAATCGAAACCACGCAACAGTCTGTGCTCCGATTTAGCCGACCAATCACGTCACGTCGATTCAAACTGCATCAACTCATTCTCAATTCAACTTCACCTCAAAATCACTAATACAGATTATAAAACAACTTTTTGTAGATTAAAAAAAATGTGGCCAGTTGTCTTCATGTATTTTATCACTGATATGGTACTGATAAAGTTAGAAGTGAACAGAATCAGTTATGGTGCCCTCTAGTGAATACGTGTGCATGTGCTAAAGTGACATTTAAAAATATATATGAACAAAAATGGCGCGGAAATCTTCGACATGGATTACACCGTTCAAAAAGCAGGTTAGTGCCAGTTTTTTCCTTTTATTATTTAAATAAATATTGCACACATGAAAAATTTAAACTCTTATACTTAATCTCCTTGTTTTTTATATTATTAGTAACTGGAAAATGCAATCTAGTAATAAAAAAATAAGGTATATTTTTGCATTTCGACGCATGTTCTAGTCACGGTTTTCTGGGTCATTGAATAAATAGTACAGTATAAATTACGTACGTATAATAATGAAACTCTGTACGAAATAATAGGTACTTGTTTATTAGATCCTGGGTTGTGCAAAGTATTATTATTATTCAATTTAATACTACTAGTTGTTGTTTTTTATACATATCCTCATTTCAAAGTCAAAGTCAAAACATGGGACTCATAAAATAAATAGTGAAAAGTGGGTGTTATATTGTACAGTGGCATTAAATGCCATAATGAGTATCTCTGCCTACCCCTTCGAGGATGAAAGCCGTTACGTGAATATCAATTATACACTTCTACATATAACTTAGGTACCCTTGGATAATATCAAACATCGTATGTACCAGGTATGAGATCTAAAATTAATATTTGTAAATTATAATTGTTTACATTGATCAAAGCAAATAGCTCGTAAACCTATAATCAGAATGTTTCACTAAAATAATTGTTTAATAGACAAGTGTGGAAAGATCTTATGTTTGTATTCACGTCTGTCTATTGCGTTGAAATTACTGAAAATTATGACATACCTATTATAAATATTAAAGTGATATTCTGAAAATGTTAATTTTCTTACTATTATCATAATATTGTGACGATATACCTAATGTAGAGAAATGCTAAAAGGAAAAATGAGAATTTGTTCTTTATTTGCATTGACAAGAAAACAACTTTATTATATGTATTTTAACATTACCAAATAAGCATATTTTTTGCTCATTTTGACACTACTTATTTGGGCCAATGACCGAATGGCCATGTGAAAGAGTAACTAAACATCGATGTTTTTGTATACCTACGTCAAAAAACATGATTATTGTATTGTATACGGTCATGTACAAAACTGACACAATATAGGATGATCTTGTCAAGCATATTACTTCAGTGTTTTTATTATTAGTTACACGATTAGGCTTTATGGTACACTTTATGTCGCGGAGAACCTAACGGGTAACCAGGGCTCCGGCTCGACGTGCAGGAGAAGGAACGGGGTGGTTTTTAGTCAGTAAGAGTCTGACACTCCCTTCCGCCTCACCCAGGCGGGAGCAGTCATTCGATGATGTTCCCCCCTTAAAAAAAAATAAAAAATGGTACACTTTATACCGCCAATATTATACGGTTTAAAAAATTTAATAATATTCTTTTTACGGAAATCAATTAAGTAGGTGCTTATTTATTAAATCATAAAGTACAAATCAGTATTTTCAAAACTCAGTCCTCTTCTTAGATGGTGCAACTGCTCTTTTTATGCTAAACGGGTTTGTTTGTGGCTGAGTTGGAAGTGGGATTTTTATTTAAAAAGAGATCGTTGGTAAGATTTAAAAAAATAACGTCTATTTTTAGTTTCTGAACGGACAATTTCCACAGATAAAATAGATTCATAATAATGTTTTCTATACATAACTGTAACAATATCACATAGTAACGTTGACAGCCTTGACATAGGCCAGGCCATTTGTCACGAACGGAGTGAGGTCAGGTATGTATAGGGTCAACGGTTTCTTTTATTGCTACTAGGTACTGTTGGTACAATACAAAGGCTATCTTAAGCTTGGTAAACGGTCACCGTAGCCTATCCAACTACAATTGTAACACCAGAGGTAACATAAGTGCGTTGCGAACCATGTAGAAAGAAGAAAGAAGTAGACAGAAAAATGGTTTATTTGCACCGTCACAAAATACAAAAACCCAAAAATTAAAAGAACAAAGTAAAAAAGGCGTAAAAAGGCTAGAGCTCAGGTAAAATGCTGAGCGCATTAGCTCGAGTCGCAGCGCTGATTTTCAGCACTAAGCCCGTAGCTGTATCTTATACACATAAAGTTATGATTGATAATACAAAAAATATACAATAGTATTATTTTATAAAACATCTGCAATACCTAACTTCATCTAGCTTCACTGACGGACTGACTGACAGACTATTACTTATTTTGTATTTGTTGACGTTTCAAAAGTACCAAATTATGGTTTAAAAAATACCTAAATGCTTTGACTTTGACTTTAAATAATTTATAAAATGAAATTTATGAAATAGTAAAAATCTAGGCCACTGTTCGATTGCACCATCACTTTACCTACTTTCCGAGGCGGGAAAAACATTTTATCAAAACTGGTATCACAATTCACAAATCTTTGCTGAACATACGAACACTTCCTATCACATCTGATCAGTACAAATATCTAGAGTAAAATATTCACAGTCATTCTGAGATTCGACTCTATGTCAACGTTTTTCCGAAACATTTCTACGATAATCGACTAATTATTTGTAATTAAGATAAAGTAACACTGGCGCTTTGGTTATCTGATACTATTTTTTTTATGTCATAAGCCGGTAAACCAACATACGGATCATCTCATGGTAAGCAATCGGCGTCGCCCATGGACACCTGGAACACCAGAGGCGTTACAAGTGCGTTACCGGCCTTTTGGCGATTAGGAGTTTGAGGATCGTTGGGGATTCAGGAATTGGGGAATTTGGTGAAGGGGAGGGTAATTGGGCTCCGGTAACCTCACTCACACGACGAAACACAACGCAAGCGTTGCTTCACGTCGATTTTCTGTGAAGCCGTGGTATCACTCCGGTCGAGCCGGCTTGTTCGTGTCGAAGCATGGCTCTCCCACACTTAGAAATAAAGTGTTGACAATGTTGACATATCAATGGCCAATCAAAAAGAAAAGAAAAATGAGTAGTAAACTAAACAGATTAATTTCCATCAGGTAATGACAATTACCATAGTCTATAGACATCTGCTACCCGAGCTGCCTAATATCGATCGTGTAAAAAACGGGGTGGTTTTTAGTCAGTAAGAGCGACACTCCCTCTCGCCTAACTCAAGGCGGAAAAAGTCATTTTATTTCTTATTTATTTATTTACTTATTATTATTATGTATATCTTAACCATTCGCGGGATATTCATCTACTTTTATGCTATAAATTTCGTGAGACATACTAAATTATAATATTAACATGTCTATACTCTCGTGATTTCTTTGATAAAAAATAAAGTAACTAGGAAGTATTTCTAATCTCTACATAGATAGATAACCTCACGCCTGTCTCCCGTTGAGAGGCACAGAGACTAAAGAACCCCAATAACTACGATTCTTCATACCTCTTTCGCTTCCTCAACAGTCATCGTCTTTTCATGCTCGTCGGTTAAGGGTACATTTAAATGACTCTATATTAACTTTATTAATTTTGTTTAAAGTTTGACACGAATTGGCGCCGATTAACTTGGTCTCGTGATTACTCTGTTTTCTTAGTTCACAAATTAAAAATAGACTAGGAAGTGTTTCTAATCTCTTTGTCTTATTTTAACAGTTTATTGATGTTATATTTAACTTATAGATAAGTGTAATCATTATATCACACATCATTATAGTTAATTATAATACTGACATGGGGTATTTTTATGATATGTGTGATGTACTGTGGAAAAAAAAAAGTTGGCCTTCATTGTAATTCCTAACAGTTCGAGTGTGGCTTAGATAAACAATATATATTATGTATTGTACAATTGTACATACATGCGTAAATAAGCCGTGAATTTGCAATTTATTATTGTATAATCTCATTGTTACGTACAATCGAGATTAGATTACATTTGGTTGTAAAATAATGATAGCAAAAGGCCTGAGTTTCGGGTTATCCATCAGTGTCATTATTGTTATGGAAGAAATATTGTTCATAATTCAAGTTATTGACAGTCCCCTGCTAGATTATTTAAGCCATTTTGTACATAAATGGGATTTGCCATAATATCCACACGCTACTATCTGAGTTGATCTCAAAGAACCCTCAAACCATCACAGATGGAACCCAGTAGGGCTGATATCGATGCGGAGGCGCTGAGGACTTAAGAGGTTGCCGGGGCTCCTGCTTGAAGACCAGGAGTAGGACGGGTGGTTTTTAGTCAGTAAGAGACTTCCTCTCGCCTCGCCCGAGGCGGGAGAAGTCATAGGATGATTTTCCCCTCTCAAAGATAGAAAAACAATGGTCTATGTTAAATGTGTAATCCCTTAATTTGCTCTGAAGTAGGTGTAGTCACACCTGTGCCTACACCGAAAGAATCTACTACGAATACCATATAACATAACATAACATCACGCCTTTTATCCCCGAAGGGGTAGACAGAGGTGCACATTACAACACTTAATGCCTCTGCACAATGTAACACCCACTTTTCACTAAGTATTTATGTTATGAGTCTCACGTAATAGGGGGTGAGCGTATACATGGATACCATACCAAGAAATCTTTTATAAACTACGTTCAAAAAACCATTCAAATTTAAAAAAAACTTCAACTCATTCTCCTAAGTCTAACGCTTTTCTGAAAACCGTGTCAAAATCGGTTCAGCCTGTCGCTAGGAAATCGAAAGTTAAGAACCGCTATTGAAAACTCCAGTATATTAGTTAAAAGATTACTTGTATTCACCCACCATGCATGCATGTGACTTAAAATAAATCGTTAAAATTCTTATGCCTTATTTACCTAGGCCTATGTATGGACTGCTCATCATTAAAATATTAACAGATTCATGATTAGGTATTTGTTTTTCCACTAGTAAAAGCAAACATTTATAAGAGTTTTTAGTATCTATTTAATCTTAATTCAAACATAATTTGGCGCTTAATTTCGATTACGAAAGTGAATCATGTGACTATTTTTTGGACTTTGTACTTTGGAACTTAGAACACGTGAACAGACAGACATTTTTACTGTTGTAACTTTTGGTGTACTGGAGTTAAAGTATTTTATTTAGCTTGGGTTTTGAGTGGAAAGTGATAAAGGTTCACGAGTTTGGTA